AAACTGTGACCGCAACAAATCAGCTCTGATAAACTTCTGGAGTTAAACCTGACAGATGGATATTCTACCACATTGGTTTAATGTGCATTCATCAGCCTTGGTTAATTGTTAATAAAATTCAATTAATATTTACATAAATATAAACTACTAGCTATTGCATAGTTTACSAATTATGCTTACTAGGGACCTAAACACAAGAAGTGTTCGGAGTCGGACCACATCTTATGACGAAAACTATACTTGAAGAACGGGATACATAATGATCGACACAAAAGCCAAAAGGTTAATTGTCTATAAACAACRTACCAGGTTCGATCCCGTGTATTACATGGGGTAATTTGAAAAGATTAAATCATGTCAGGAACTTATCTTACAGATATGAATAATCATCGAAAATACGATGCTACTTCAGACTTGTACGCTTGAAATAACTTTGAAGTATAACTCTGAAAAATGACTATTCAGACTTGAATTTATAAATGAAACTATATCAATAATTAGTTAAAATGAAGTTAACCCTAGAATAAAATTAAATTTAGAAATAAAATTTAAACTTAGAAGTAAATTTATAAGGGCCCTTTAGACTTGTACTATTTAAATAACCCTGAAGTAAAACTCTTAAGACTTCATAGCTCTGTATAKGCAAGTCAAAAGCTCTGCATGCACTATGCAAAGGCTTTGCATGGTGCGCTGCATAGTGTCCCGTTTGGAAAAGAAGATTTCAGAGTTCGGGTGAGCTAACTCTGAAGCATGACTCTTTAGACTTGTACACTAGAAATAACTCTGAAGTAAAACTCTGAAGAATGACTCTTCAGACTTGTACTCTTGAAATAACTCTGGAGTATAAAATCAATCCCACTAAATCATAGTTCATACTTCTAAGTCTTAAAAAAAAAGACTTCAGACTTCAGAGTTCGGGTGAGCTAAGTCTGAAAAAGAAGACTTCAGAATTCGGGTGAGCTAACTCTGAAAAATGACTCTTCAGACTAGTAAAAGACTTCAGAGTTCAGACTTCTAAGTCTGAAAAAGAAGCCCTCAGTCTTTTTCTAAGTCTAAAAAAAGACTTCAAAGTTCAGACTCCTAAGTCTGAAAAAGAAAACTTCAGTCTTTTTCTAAATCTAAAAAAAGACTTCAGAGTTCAGACTCCTAAGTTTAAAAAAGAAGACTTAAGAGTTCAGACTCCTAAATCTAAAAAAGAAGACTTAAGAGTTCAGACTCTAGAGTTTGGGTGAGCTAAGTCTGAAAAAGCAGACTTCAGAGTGTGGGTGAGCTAACTCTTTAAAATGACTCTTCAGACTTGTACTTTTGAAATAATTTTGAAGTAGAACTCTGAAGAATGACTTCAGACTTGTAGTAAAACTCTGAAAGATGACTTTAGACTTGTATTATTGAAATAACTTTGAAGAACGACTCTTCAGACTTGAATTTAGAAATGAAACTGTATCAATAATTAGTTAAAATGAAGTTAACTCTATAATAAAATTGAATTTAGAAATGAAACTATATCAATAAATTGAATTTAAATTTAGAAGAGCGTATGCATCAAATCTGAAGACCTTGAGTTCAAAGTTATTCAAATACCAAATATCTTTGAAAAATACCCCATGATAAAGTTTGCATCATACAGAGCAAGTACCCAGAGCTCCTCTGGTCCTTAAGGACCAGAGCCCCTATGGACTCACCAATCCAAAAGCAAGGCCAAAGCCCCTCTGGTCAGCATCGTCTATCTAGAGCCTCTTGGACAAAAAAATGTAAAATACTTACAGAATTTGTGTTCCAATTACAACCAGAGACCCTCTGGTTAAACATAAAGATCGACTAGAGCCCCTCTGGTTCCTTTATGGTGGATTGGAGTATTTTTCCAAGGTTCAAATAAACAACCAAAAGCAAAGCCATCCAAAAGTCAGACTAACCAGAGGGGCTCTGGCTTACAAGACTAAGTCTTAAAGACTTATCTTCAAAGTCTAGATAAGTTTATTACAARACTTGTACTYTTGAAATTACTCTAAAGTAAAACTTTTTAGACTTCAGAGCTCTGTATAGGCAAGCCAGAAGYTCTGCATCGTGCTCYGTCTGGAAAAGAAGACTACAGAGTTTGGGTGAGCTAACTCTGAAGAATGACTCTTCAGACTTCTACTCTGKGAATAACTCTGAAATAAAACTCTAAAGAATGACTCTTCAGACTTGTACTCTTGAAATAACTCTGAAGTATAAAATCAATCCCATTAAATCAGAGTTCAGACTTCTAAGTCTGGAAAAAAAAAACTTCAGAGTTCGGATGAGTTAAGGCTGAAAAAAAAGACTTCAGAATTCGGGTGGATTAGTTAGTAAATGATGTCAAGGGTTGGTTTATATAAGGTCTATTAATTAGTTAGCCAAAAGTAGTAGTAGCAGTATATATATATATATATGTGGTTATTTATAATATCAAAAGAAGAAGAAATCCCTGTTATTTAGATTAATTAAGAAGGGAAGAAAGAAAAGGCAAGTAGAGTTATTTASGTAGGTTTTAATTGAAGAAATTAAACAGGTGCTATGAAAAACAATAGAACAGTTGGCTCCTCAACTTGCAAATTAACAAACTACTAGCAGCAAATGGTATTGTGATTTTCATTCATCACAGGCACAGGCACAGGCACAGCTAGCTGGTTAATAAACCATGCTATTTCTATGTCTGTTTGATGAGAATTAATAAACAGACACTTGTTACGTACAATTAAATCACTCGCAATGAAATCATATGTATATATATATATATATATGTATGTATGTATATATATATATATATGTATGTATGTATATATATATGTATGTATGAATTTGGGGAGTCAATGGTTATGTATTCCCAAGTATTTTATGTTTCAAATTTGTTGGCTTCTGAGTGGTTTTCAAGTCACACCCTGTTTGTCATTATTAAAATTTATACACCATGCACTCTCTCCTATTATATATTATCGGTTGAAAAACAACTGGACAGTAGCTTCGAATTCTCATGTACACCATTTCTCCACTTGACTTTAATTTTGTTCGTCGATAGAAGAAATGTATGTRCATCAACTTACAAATACATGTCATGAGACATCACTATTATTAATTTATCAAATCTAATAAGATTAAKTTTTAGAAAATGGCAACTTTTAATTAGCTCAACCATCCCAAACATCAATCTTGTGTGTGTATGTATCTGTGTGTGTTTGTTTAGCAATAAACAAATGTTCTGTACAAGAATCATTATTACAAGGAAGGAGGGAAGGAAAGTGTTTTATCAATAATTAACKAACAAAATGATTGCCCAAAAGTCTTTACATCCGGTTTGTACGTTGTTAAGAGAGAGGGACCAAGTACAGATATCCCTTCTTCTAATCATTAACAATTATTTTTACACTTATTTATTATTATTATTATTATTATTATAATAAAAAAACAATTAATTGAATTGGTTTTTATTTCACAAGAAAAAGAATAGTGCTGTGCTGTCAACAGAAAGGAGGTGGACCGCGTACAGCCGTATACCCGACACGCTCTCCAGTCCTACACCGCCTCATTCACCCACTTATATTTCACTCATATTGCCTATCAATTACAATGAAATTTTCCAAATAATACATATATATATATACCCCCAATAAGCTAGGCAAATAACCAATACCATCGTCCTCAACAACAACAACAACAACAACATTTCCTTCCAATTCAATTAGTAGACAGAAAATGCAGAGATCAAAATCAGGTAGAGCTTGGAACATACTCAGGTTAGCCTTGTTGTGGACTAGAAAAGGTGGAGTCTTCCTTGATCTAAAGAAAAGGCTTGATCTTCATTTTCTCAATCATTCCCACAATGGCAGTAAAGGTAATGGTGCCCTCCAATACGGTGACCGTCAGCTGTCTTTTGATGCAACTCCTATGATCCATATCAGGATGCACCGTCCCAACTCAATGCGCTTCCGATTGCCTCACATCCCCTGCATCAATCCTCATTCTAATGATCATATGTTTGACTTTGATGATGATGATGATGATGATGACTACCAACCCAGAAACAGTTTTCTGATAGGGAATGGACAAGATGAAGCAGAAGAAGACCAAATAGAAGATGGGATTGGGATTGATCTCAAAGCTGAACAGTTCATAGCCAACTTCTATGAGCAGCTTAAGCTTCAAAGGCAATTCAACCCAACAAGAAGAAGAACAAGTARCGACTAGCTGCATATATAGCCTACTATACATCTTTTTGCTTTATAATTAATTAATGTATACAAAAACCATGCATATTTATCACTCATGTCATATATAGCYACAGCTTGCAGCTTTTTTTGTTTACATGATACTCGCACGGCATTGTTTCAAATAAAAGACCATCATTATATATCTTATATATATATGTATACAACTCTTCATATTTGCTGTTGCATTTATTGAAATTTTCACTTGGGAATAACCAAACAGCCAAAAGATAAATATATAATAAATAAAAAGCAACTTAACAGAGGTCGCTGGGTTTCTGTTTTTGAAATTGCAAACAACAAAATCTTAAAACATTCTTCTTATGCAATAACAAAATTCTGCAACTCATCTACCCTTGTGATGATGGTTTGGAAAAGGCTTTCATGTCTCAAAATGCACATGATCTCAKAACTTACCTGCCATTCAACCAATTATTTACATATGAATGCATTCTTTCCCACTTTCTCAAACTCTTTACATTTAAACCCTCCTATTTATGATTAGATTTTGAACCACATGAGAGTATTTTCCTTGACAACAAGGGAAATACCCTTATACTGTGTGTAATATTTTGAAAAACTGGTGATTAAACCTTCCACACAATATAAGGCTTCTTTTACATATGTTATGTRAACAGTTGCGTAATTTATAGGTTAATTTCTCACAAGAACTCAACCCTATATGGTGGTAGGTCTAAATAAGAACGYTAATATCGTGAGAATGTAAAAAGAAATGTTGATATGTAAATTATTAAAAAAATCCATTTAAAGATGCATATATGAACCTTTATGAATAATCTATAACATAGATTCACATATGCATCTTCAAATAGACTTTTCAAACTTTTTTCAATGGACCCACATATAACCCTTCTTTTTTATTCTCACGATATTTGGCATTTTTATTTAAATTAACCCCAAAAGTCGGGTTCATACGAGAAAAGTGACCAAATAAAATAATTTATAAAACTTTCGAATCACATGTGATTTTACACTTAAATCACATTTGATTCAGGCGACCTTAGCCACAATCTAAGGTCGCAAGACACGTCGCCCGCACAACCTTGCATTAACTGTTAGTGTAAAATCACATTATTTTGTACATGATTTGGCCGTTTTCTTGTTCTCTTATTTGGTTATTATTCTTGTTTGAACCTCCCTCTCTCTTGTATATATAACATATGGAAGAGAGAGAGAGAGAGAGAGAGAGAGAGAGAGAGAGGTCTGAATAAATTAACTTAGTGTTTGTAGAACAGCTTTCCCTTGACTTGAAACAAAGTAAGAGGTGGAAACATCAACTATGTCAATAAAAGACCCAAAACTAATCAACGTTGGTCCAATTCCACATTTAAAACATTGTTGCAAAGCTCCTTGTGTCTTGCTTGTCCCTGTTCATTGTATCTGTATATATGCATGCATCTTCCACTTCCTGCTCCTAAACTTGATCATTCCCAAAACACAAAACCTTGTTTCCCTGCAACAAAACATATAAACCTTCAAGTCTACATGTGTTGATCACTGTTAAATTAAGACCTTTTATAACAAGACATTTAGCTCTGCATCAGTTAGGATTTCATAAATAAATCCAACCTGTTCAAGAAAGGAAAGTATCAAATGTATCAATCAAAAACCCTTGGCAGATTATAAGATGCTTGTTACTTCTTTCAAAACCTTAGTACCTGCCCTGAAAATACCTCGGTAGTAATTAAATAGATCCGTTCTGATGTGTCTTCACATATGCTTCCAACTGCCCTGTTGCTGCTAATATAAGACCTGCAGCAAAATATAGTTTTAGCCAGGTACCCAGTTTCACAGACAAAAGGAGTCATAGAAATTATCAAGTGTTGCATGTGGCAGCTAGGTTTATTAAACCACTCTTGGTTCTTTGTTTTCTCATTTTGTTCTTTTGGTTATTTGTTYCAATTTTAGTCAACTACCATATTAATGTCAAGGAACCTACTTKGTGTGCATCCTAAGCTCCTCAGTGACAAGGCTAGAATGATTTGGTTTAAATGTACACAAACTGAAAAATGTAATTCATCTATAACCATGTGAACATGTGTTCGATCTGTCTGCAGATTGTAGACAAATCATCAGTAGATAAGTTCATAGAAACCTGAAGAGAAGAAAATCCCCTTCTATTCCTCTAGGCCCTATGCCAACCTCCATCTTATTAAAAAAAATAACATACAGGAAGGCATTATAAAAGATATAACGAAGAAAAGTAAGGAACTCCAGAAGTTTGTTTGAAAGCAGCAAGAGTAGGCTCATCTCTGAACCATCATAAATATTCCAAATTCGAAGGTAAAACACCAGAAGTGATTGCAAATACCTAAAAATAGGGCTGATGGCTTTCCAGGCCGTGATTTATATTCAGGATGAAACTGTACCCCCACATARAATGGATGGCTTGCAAGTTCTAAAATCTGCATAACATAAGAAGAGTTCTTCTTTAGGAAATTCCAATAATAATAATTATCATGAACAGTAACAATAATAATAAGAGTTCACTTGCTATAGACAAGTGGCGTAATTTAGCAAGCGCCAATAAGAACTTAACATGCACCGATCTATGAATAAACTAGCAAACAAAATTCAGCAAGGATGGAGACAGGTCAGGGTTTTTAACAYCCTTGATTCAAGTTCCTTTTTTTTGCATGGATGGTGAATTAGATTTTCTCCAACAATGGTAGTCGTACATTCAAATTATAACTTGCTCTGCCAAGTGAAAGAAAGATCATTGACAAACTGATAGGCAAAAAACTTAATTCTGGAAAATTCATTTCTTGATTTCTCCATTCAATTTGCAAATGCTTAATGTGTCAAATTGATGGAGACCATGGATATATGACATACCACACATAATAGCACCCAATTTGTTAATCTGATTCAATTGCTATCTCCAAGCACTTCCTCTGAAGTCGGAGAGAATTATCAGACCTTTCCAAATTGAAAAGAAAGATTGAACTTTTAAATGAAACTGAAATTGACAAAGAAAAAAGAATAACACCATCCTCCACCAGGCTCTTCTATTTTCCACTTAAAGAAATCTCATTCAAAATTCCAACAGATTCAGGTCACTCTGTGTAGAATCCTACTGAAAATTGCCAACATAAAAGGTATGCTTGAAAGTGAATTGGCACAGCAATTAAGCATACTAACATATCCTGCAGGTAGCGGCACAGATCACGTCGACAAATTCTTCGTTGGGTGCAACAAGATGGGCAACAAATGAACAACCCCCTTCACTTCTCATGCTTAAGATGAACACCAGAAACATAGGAAAGACTACAGAATGACTTGGAAGGGACGCTACAGGACCTMCGATGTTGAAGATAATGGGATAGATCGGATACCAAGCCAGAGCCAAAGAGATGAACAACCAAGTGATAAGAGCACCAAAAAAGATTACACGGTCAAGGACTTAGATGATTGTTTTTTAACCCTTCAGATAAATCTTTGAACATAGCTTGATGGCTGAATTGGATTTCCAGAGTATTCATAATTGTACACCGCGTTTTTGAAACARTCCTTGAACTTTATGGTTTTGCAAAATGATCCGAGTTTTCAAGAAATTGCAAAGAATATAACCCAAACATATTTTCTTCTATGGTTAACGGTCCCTCAACTTTCATAAGCTTCAAGATAGTCCCCAGGCCCAGAGCTAGATTTCAAATGAACCCCTAAAATTTCTTAAATTTGCAAACTGACGATGTCTCAAGAATTTGTAAACTGAGAATGGACTTGCTTAAAATTCAAAAGTAGACCACAGAACTTTCACAAAGAATAWTTGGCCAAACCAGAAAAAATAGGTAGAGATTGCAAGGACCATGGGAGGCAACAGAACTGAAAAGCTTGACCCATTGAGGTGATGGCGTTGGAACAAAATAAGTCTTGGCAGGCAACAGAACTGAAAAGCTTGACCCATTGAAGTGATGGCGCTGGAACAGAAGATAAGTCTCTTATAAGTTAAGGCTATTGTCAATAGTGGTATAGATGCCTCTCCCAGGTTGTAAGATAGCAACACTCGACGGAGTATATGGTTTAATAAATAGGGTTCAACTAATGCCTATAATTAAATGTATAAGGATTACCTCTGTCATGACAAACATAGGTGCATCTTGAAAATGAAAAATAAACATCATAAATATTTGAAATTATTTCGTTTGCCAAATACATAACTTTAGCTTGAAATTTTGACCACAAAAAATCACCATCACATTAAATATTAGACGTCCCAAGATGAAAATCATTACAATTTTTTATATAGGACAACTTTATAAATGTTTAGGGTTCAAAGAACATGTGTTATCACCAAGGTAGGACCTGAAATCCAAATACGTAGTAAATCACATGGTTAAGGAGCCTAAATAGATAAACATAATAAAACCATAATTTTCATCTAAATTCAATTCTATCTCATAATGCAGCTCATTTCGCATTGATGATATTCAAGGATATAAAGTATGGGCAAGATCAAGAGCCCATAAAAGAACAAACCTCCATCCGTTGACCACTTTCATCCTTCCCGACAAATCTTAAGCCCGTTTTTTCTAAATGTTCAACCACCTCAGGATTCACCTACATGAGAATGAAAAACCTTCTCAAACATGTGATCTTATAATGATCAACCTCATTCCTTGCACCCACGAAGTCCATGACTAACCTCGTAGCGATGTCGATGTCGCTCGTCCACATACTCTGGATTGTGATACCTGGCAGAAAATTGAACATAATAAGCAAACAGAAAACGWTTCTTCTGATATTTGATATGAGCCTTCTGCAGGGGTTTTCAACTCTATACAAGCCAACAAAATTGAACATCATCTGTGCTATGATTGAAGTTCCATTAATAACATAAAAAAGCTAATCAGATACATCAATCTTCTCTCTGACAACTTTGCCTTTAAATGTGATAGGGGTCTCCACCACAGATGCCTAAGTCATGAACATCTCCAATCACATTCTTGGTCAAGGCTTACATACAAAAACTAATCCACTTGGAGTGTCTGTATGCGACAGAAGCATCACTACATGTAGGTAATGAGSCCTCTGAGACTAGAAAAACGAAATATGCATCAAGATTCAACAACTAAGCAACCTCCTGAGGGTCACTTCTATATAAGAGTTACCTATGGTTCCTAATGGAAGCTACAACTGCTATTTCGAGATCTAATAATCTTTCCTTCTTTCTCAATACCATAAAATAAATTAAAAAACATGATCTCTTACATAAGTGCATATATTGGAATTTGGATCTAAAGAATTACATACTCGAACATGTTACGAGAAATACTTCACCCATGGCTCAGCTTCATCAAAGGTTCTGAGCCCCAAGAAAATGACTTAGATCCCCAAAGAACRAGGTAACGATCAGGATATATGGAGATTACATGGAATTAGGTAAAGAAGGCCATAACTGCTGGTAATTTCAGGAGCTCATGGGTGGCTTGCAATCCTTTATGAAATATATTTACATAGTCAAGGATACTGCAGCACATTGGTTATCTTACATTAAACCAAATCCAAGAACATGGGATACCTTACACTAAACCATCAATTCATAAGAATGCAATATAATATGACATGGTGTTCTCAGTATCCAAATTGAAGCATTATATCCCACACTTCTCACCATGTTGTCATGGTCTAAAAAGGATGGATGGTGTATCAGGTGCTTACATTAAACCAAATTCAAGAACATGGGATATAGTACATTAAACAAAATCCAAGAACGTGGGATATCTTACATTAAACCAAATCAATTTGTACGAATGCAATATGGTGTTCTCASTATCCAAAATGAAGCATTATCTCCCACACTTATCACTTAGGGATGGTGATTTACCCCGACCCGGTGGGGAACCCGGTTCACCCGACCTGAACGGGGACGGGGATTCCCCGCTAAAACGGGTCCCGGGGCCGGGGATCCCCGGTAGAATCAAACTAAAGAATACCATTTATGGGGTTTGACCGGGGATTGACCGGGATTGCTAGAGATTTGACCGAGGATTGCTAGAGATTTGACCGGGGACGGGATGATAATCCCTGTACCCGCCGGGGACCGGGGCCGGGGATTACAAAACCTGCCCCATCCCCGCCCCGTTGCATGCCTATTCTCACTATGTTTTCATGGTCTAAAAAGGATAGAAAAGAATGGTGTATCAAGTGCTTTGGTTTGACATTTTCATAAATACTAAGATCTGCAGTATAACAGATATGGCTAATAGACAAAACCCCAATTAATCCCCAACCACCTTGCTGCTTGGGCTTTTGAAATGATKAACTTGGAAATTTTTGGTAATCAAGCAACGGGAGACGCACTTTACCTATGTGGCTGATTAAGCAGTTGATTAAATGGCCTAAACGTAGATTCTTGTRCATTGCATGCATATAAGATGCCCTAGTATTTGAAGTATTCTGTTTCTTCTGGGACCTGGACGTATTCAAAACCTTGAAACAACAAAAAKATTATCCTAAACCACAAGGGTGGTGCCTCATTGGTTTGAGCTTGGCTCCAAAGGTCAAAAGTACCAGGAGGTCTCAGGTTCAAATCCAAGGAGGAATAAAAATCCCCTTGTGGCCATGGAGGTTCAAATGTGGGGACTCCGGGCTATCTGCAAAGCAGGTGGTCGCCCTGGGATTAGTCAGCTCGCATAGCGGGTTGGATATCCAGGTTAATTAAAAAAAAAAAAGATGATCCTAAATCTAACAAAAAGAGCCAAGCCGCAACCAGTGGGTGCATCCGGCATATATCCAGCCACAACCAGTGGGTGCATCCGGCATATATCCAGCCGCACCTTCACCTGATTCATACTTGATGCAGAAACTCAAGCATTGGTGCTTCCTAGGTCATAGCTAAAGTTTTAATATGTTTAACATGGAAACAAAGTCAGTTCACTTGGTTGGGTCTCCTTTTCTCTTCTGGAAAGCACTTGAGTAGATACCTTAGTTGGTCCAATTCCAACAAACAATATACCCAAAAAAAGGTGCRGTTTCATGGTGATATGTCCCCTAGGTATTTCAATAGCTAGAATTTGAGGTTAGAATCTCATACAGTTTTGCGGTGATACAATCAGAGCTCTGCAGTAAAGTTCTTCGAGAGCCAAGTCTCATTGTGCTTCCCATGTGTGTTCTTGAACCCTGAATTTAAATGCATAGAAAAAAGAAAGATGATATCCCACATACATCTCAAACAAAAGCTTGTCAAATATAAGCAAGCAGAAATACCTCTGGCATGAAAATTACWACAGGATTGGGTGCATGCTCATCAAATTCAGTACTATTTGCCCCTTTCCAGCCCAAGACCTGGATGAATTAATTTAACTAAAAATATATTATATTTGAACTAAAAGTTGTATGACAAATGGTAGGAAACAGATAACACCAGTTATCCTCCCTCTCCCAAAATAAATATCCACAATGAAAAAAGCACACATTTTTTAGAACTGTGTAATTATTACACTTTTTAATCAACTAAATGACAATTTTACCTTTAATAATATATGGAATAATTAATTTCTCCATCTCAAAATTAAGGGTAGAATYGGAGAGTAGGCATTTATATTTTGAAAGTGGACACTTATTTACGGGCAAACTAAATAGAAATGTGGACACCTATTTGGAGACTGGAGGAGTTTATATTTATAGAAAAACAACTTACAGATCTAGAAATCTCAATTACAGATATCTGCATTCCTAAACAAATGCCAAGATATGGAACTTTATTCTCTCGGGCATACTTGGCAGCTAGTATCATTCCCTTCACACCACGATCTCCAAATCCACCAGGAATCAAAACGCATGCTGCATTCTGGATAATAATAATATTTAGTTTCACATATAATAACCCAGTAATAAGAAATTTGTAACCCATCGCTGACRTAAAAACGTGTCTGACTAGTTTATTTAAAGCACAAGTTCAAGCACTAATAAAAGAGGGAAAATCTTGGGGGGCTTGGTTATAATGGGTATGGAAAAGGGAATGTTGGGGAATAGTAATGGTCTAATGGGTGTATTATCCATATAATTTCATGTGTCGACACTCCTCAGCATAACAAAGTGGCAGAAGGAAATAATCGGCATCTACTTGTGGTAGCTCGATCCTTACTTTTTTCTAATTGTGTTCCTAGACATTATAGGGGGAAAGTTGTCCACATAGCAACTTCTTTTTGAAGTATATAATATTTTATAYATGGAAAATTCACAAGCAATCCTCACCTTTGGTTGGATTTGAACTCTTGACCTTCAAGGAGGTTGGGCTCTGCAGATAACCCGGGTACCGCCAGACCAATGACCTTTTGGTTCCTCACAACACTGACCTCATAAACATAATGCATCTCGAGTTCTTAAGTTTTAAACACCTCAACAAGCCCTACATTAACACTTTCTTCATTTCCAATTTGTATCCTCTAATGTCCCTCTCAAGGTATTCAGATGTACTACTTTTATTCACATCCATCGACAAACCAACCCAAACTCCAATTTGGAAGAAATGCAAATGTTGGGTTGTAAGCTAACCAAAACTYAATTCCTGCAACAAATTTGGATCCAAAAAGAAAGTATACCGGTTGACATGGGTAGATATCAACGCCTAGTGGAGAAGGAATCTACTTGGCYCACCCTTGACTAGACAAGGTTAGTCAATTCACTAATAATCCTACTAAAGCACATATGAAAGTTGTGATAAGAATTATGAGGTATTTGAAAAGGAAATCGTTAAAATGGTCTACTCTTCAAGAAAAAGAAAAAAAAAAAGAGAAATAGAAGTCTACATGGATGCAAATTGGGTCGGATATACCTCACAGCATTCTACCTTGYGGTATTGTACCTATGTATGAAGTAACCTAGTGAAATGAAAAGTAAGAAGCAAGTTCTTGTATCAAGTAGTGTTGAGGCTAAAGTAGCTCTTGGAATGTGTAAGAGAATGTGAATTCAGAAAGTCCTAAATGATTTGTAGGTAGCCAACTACCAATACGAATGATGTGTGATAACAAAGTAGCTATTAGCATTGCTAAGAATCCAGTTCATCATGATCGAACCAAGCAAATAGAGATTGACCAACATTCTATTTCAGAGAGAATTAAAAATGAAGTCATGCAACTTGTCTACACACCTCTCCGACATCAAAATGCTCAAATCTTGATAAATCCCTTCAAAGGGCAAGCTAGGCATGTATATTTGTACAACCTGCTTGAGGGGGAGTGCTGAATTATAATTAGCTAGAGTCCTATATGGAGTCTTTTGTTCTATTGGATAAGTACTAGATWTAAGTATTTTTGTTTTTATGCACCCAGATAAAATAGCATTATTTACTAATAGTTTGATTTGAGTTAGGTTCCTAGAATAAAGGAAGTAGTTGTGACTTCCTAATCTGGTCGATGCTTAAATAGGGATTGTAATCCTAATACTCTATGTGAGAAATCAGATTTGTTTTTCTCGCAAAAATGTGCACATTATAACCACAAATAAACCCAGAGATATCAAGTTATATTCAAAATGAAATGATGATCAATATGCATTATGAATATTCAAAACACAGAGTTGGTTGTCGTATGAAATTTACCCTTAGTGTCTCCCAGGCCTTGGTATGAACTTCTGGTGTCTGCAAACGAATACAAAGTTAAGAAGTAAAAACTTAAATAGGGATTAAATAGAACTATAGAAGTATCTAGGCTGATCGCTGATGGAAGTAATAGGGGCTTCATACCAATTTGGCACTTTCATCTTCAAGATCAGAAGCTGCAATCCATTCAATGGAGGGTTTCAACAAACATGCTATGCAGGCATGAAGAAGGGCCTACATTTCAAGTTTATAAAACATTAGTCGAATTCAGTACGAGTCCACTCCACAGTTTAACYCTAAAGAAACAAATTCCTTATAGTTTAATTGCAGCAATGTAATCGTTTTGAATAAATATTATACCATATTACCATGTGTAAAGGATGTTTCCAGTACGGTCAAGGAAAARGTTCCCACAATGATGCAGGAGGGYAATATAAAAAGATGCATGCTAAGAATTTTGGTCTTAAAAGTGGAACTAGTGATATACAGAAACACTCTCAAAAGGATCATGTTATGAACTGGAATCCAAATCAGTAACGAACTAAAAATGAAGATGGAGACAAATTAATCGGATGGTTACTTGAATGGAAAACTCTAGCATTCAAGAGGCTAGAACTCTTCCATATGAATCACTAATATTCTGCCTGCCTCCCACTCCCTCCATCCTCCCTATTTATACTAAAAATCAAATAGAAGTAAGGTCCCGTTCGGTTTGCGGGATTGGATTGGATTTGGAGGAATTTGAATTGAATTCCATTCCAATCCCATGTTTTGTTTGAAGGATTTCATTGAAATCCCACAAACTGACAAACATAGGATTTTGAAATCCCTCAAGGGTGCTTGGTAATTTCAAGGGATTTCGTAGGACTGTATATAATAATGYTTTAAAAAATGTTAAAAACATTTGTTTTGTAATAATCAATTAATAAAAATGTAATTTAATTATTTTTATAATTATTTACAATTTGTTTTTATAAATTATTTATAAARAATGGAATCCAATTCCATTTGAAATCCTACAAACCAAACACAATGAAGATTCCAAACCCTTCCAAATCCAAACCCCTCCAATTCCAAATCTCTTTACGAAATCCAAATCCCTCAAACCATTCCATCAAACCAAACGCCCCCTAAAGAGTATCATCTCAGATTCTGCATTACCACCAGATATGCATTACATATCTCAATGAAAAAATAAAGATACATCCTCAGATTTATTAGCATTTCATGGAAGGCATAATATTATTTGTCTGAAACTGAGCATAGAGTTAAAATACACTAGTCGTACCTTAACAACAGACAAATAGGAGTCTGTTAGGCCAACATATTTCCCAACCATTGCAATCTTCACCTGCCGAGAGTAATATTTCTTCAGAAGCTAAAATATAATGATGCAAGCGAGGAGAATATTTGGGATGATACTAACAGAACTAGTGAGGTTGTCAAAAGTCTCTGCCCTATTAGTCCACTCTTGCAAATTTGGAGGTATGGCAACACTGAAACAGACAAGATTATCAGATTTCCTGCAGCCCTTGATCAAAATTCCACATATACTAAAGAAAAACATCAAAAAGACAATAGCAGGCTGTAAATGATCATAAACTATTTCTTTTTGAAGAGTATGTATTCTACAAGGAATCAAAATTATAACATATTCCATTCCTTCAATTCAGTGAAGATAATGGAATGTGAAGGCCGGATACTTCTCTCTATATATAATTATAAGAAAGATCTAGCAAATGCTTATATAAAAGCTCACCGGAGTAGTGCTAGCTGTTTTAGGATTGCCTCATGAGCATTTTGGTTCTGAATGAAGCCAATGAAAATTTAGAGATGATGCGAAAGATCTCAAAGGAATACAAAAAAATTGTTAAAGCTTACACACCCGAAGTAGAAGAGGAACATGCCAAATGTTCGGAACATCATGTATATTGAGAATATTAGCAGCCTGTTTACAAAATAAATCAGGAAGAATAACACAGAAGAACAACTACAGCCTACACAAAAGTTTACAACATGGTGTAAACAGCAACTTACAGATACATGGCAAAATTGTGAAAGCTTCTGCTTTGTATTTTCCAACAATGGCTGCAAGGTAATCATGGCAACTATTTTAATACTTGATTGTTCTATTAGCCGCAAAAGGAAAGAAGAGAGCAGCARAAAGAGAGATGCATATAGAAGGTAAAAGCTGTCATGAAATATGATTATATCAACAAGAGTGAGTATTGCATAAACACGGTAAAATTATACAGCTACATTAACACAGATGATAGTGTGAAAACTATAATAGCCTGTCAAAATTAGAAGCAAATAAAATGTTTAGTTTTCCTAAAAYTTGGAAAGGAGCAAACAAAATATTTAGTTTTCTAACACTAAGGTGTTGGAAATTAAAATTCTGAATTCTTTAAAGATAGTTTCCTGTTTTAGGAGAGCTATTAAAGGTGTATTTATAGGCTTCTAAATCCATGTATTACTCCATGAAATTTCATTTCTTTCTCACCAAACGACATTATTATCAGCGCTCTAGGGTTTTCTTTTTCTGGTGCAGCCATTCACTTCATTCTCAATTTCAGAATTGAAGCCTTCTTCTTACTTCTCCCGTCTTTTCCGGATTTCCTATTCAGAAATCCAGTTYCCAGCCTTCCTTTCTTCCTCCTTGACCTGTTGACCATGTCAACCRTGTCTGAAACAAGCAAAACACCAGCCGATAGTTCCATCCCAGACAGTTTGGAGGTGGATTCTTTAATAGCGATGCAGTTTCGGTTATTTGCTTTAATGGCCGCAGTTTTCTGAAATCAGTTCAATCTGTTAAAATGATTTTGGATGGACGAGGCATACTTGGTCTTTTGACAGGTGCCCACATCTCATTGATGATGTTAAGAGAATTCCTTGATCATGGCATGGTTGTTGAATTTGATGGAAGAATGAATCCGTCACCCTTTACGTTCGTAGAGGCTATGGAAATTTGGGATGTTGCAAGACTTGCTCTGCTTATGAGAACTCTTCCAGGTTGTTTGAACTAAGGAAGAAATTGTGGTTGWCCAAGCAAAGCGAGCAAGACATGACTTCTTATCATAAGGAGATGTTAAGTTTATGCAAGAGCTGAATTTGTGTTTCAATGATGAATGGGAAAATCCCAATTGTTTTGCACGTTATAAAAAAGGGCAGAAGAATTATAGGCTTTTCATGYTCCTGGTGTATTCACCCATCATTTGACCATGATTCTAGTTTAGCTCTRCGATAAACTACAGCTTTAGAGATAGTTTCCGGTTTTAATAGATCTWGTAAATGTGTATTTATAGGCCTGCAAATCCATGTATTGTTTAATGAAGATATTTCATTGTTTTCTCTCCAACCACATAGTCCTAGAAAGATTGAACCCATCAATCACTTGACCTTTTCACTACTTTCACTTGGTAGACTGGTACTACCRGCAGGTATTTGCATTTCTGAGGAAGCCTTCCTTGGATGTAATGGTGCTCAAATTGTTCCACAGTAAGTGYAATAATTTCCAATTTTAGCTGTCACAGATTCAATGTACAACATTGCACGTCTTTACCTTGATTTTCTATTTTACTAAAAGAAACAATCTATACATTACTTCACAGTCATAGGGAACCTGGCAGGTTGGATGTAGTATCGTGCTAACGGCGCCAGGAARTGATTTATCCATCCTTTGGGAAATATTTTCCTCCTTAGGGAATTACTGAACCAAACTTACCTATCGGTCTACATAGTCCTCTTACAAGAGCAATTTTGATATATTTGTTTTAAAAGTTCTGTGTTCTGTCAAATAAATAGAAGATCATTGCTAGCGCTTAACCTCCCCCACTCCCCCAAAAAAGTCATAATGTGATGTAGAACTAGTTATCCACTCAAGCATCAAGAATAATTGACAAAATGGCACAATACTTCTGCTAACATGTGCTAGGGTCAAACAATGCACTAAGCAGTAGCAGATGCAAGTGGAAGGGGTGGGGGCATTTGCCCCCAACCTTGGTTTAAAAATGTGTGCACAATGCACMATGCGCTGTGATGCGTGATGCGCTCCGATGCGCTGGAGATAACGCATCAGATGGGTTGATGCGAAGCAATTCCATGATGCTCTCTGATGTGGTCGCATCACCTATGCATCACACAATGCGTGCATCAGCGCATCCTGTATGTTTCATGTTTGGGCTCCTTTTTCATTCTTTAGAGGTTTTTAGTTGGGCTTTTTGTAG